GCAAACACAGCCCCTGCACTGAGCACTGGTTTTCCTCTCCACCAGCTCCTGGGGCCTGGCACAGGAAAACCTTAATGGATCCGACACAACTCCCAGCACAGAGCAGCTCCTCTGTTTGATGCAAAGTTTAATTTGATTTCTCACTTGAATAGCTGAGACATCCTTGATGCACATCCTTCAGCTCCTTCCAGATAAATCTGCTGCATACAATTAGCACCAGGAGTCACCTGCATTTCACCAGCCTTCCCCTTCACTCCAGCCTCCACCAGCACCTCCCGGGCTGCAGAGCAACCCCACTCCACCTTTGGAAAGGATTTTCCATGGCATTTGCCCTCCTCTAGCAAGGGGGAAGATGGGGTTAAACACCTTTACTAAATTGCTGTAATCCAGGAGAGCTGCTGGAGGGGGCAGAGGCCAAGGCAGGAGCTGCTGCAGCTTTCCCAGCTCAGGCTCCAGCTGCAATTCCTGCAGGAGCACAGCCTGGGCCAGCAGCACTCCCTGCTGCCCCCAGCCACTCTGCTCCTCCCCAGAGCAGCTGCATTTCAGCAGGGCTTGGGGCAGCTGTGCAGCCCCTGGAGAGCTGTGGAACAGCTCTGGGAACAGTGAGCAAAAGCTGTGACTGCCAACAAAATATGGGAAGCGCAGGTAGGAACATGGTGTTCCTTTTTAATATCATATAAAAGTCTGGAGGCTTTTCTGGCATCTGTTTTCAGGACACCCTGAAACTTCAGCCTACAATCCCCAAAGCCTGGGGAGCACAGAGCTGCTGAGCCAGGGTCACTGTCGGGGCAGGAGGGAGACCCACAGCTTTCCAAAGAGAGAAAGCTGAATGAGGAGAACAGTGTTGTACTGTACCAACCACAGGGATGCACAGGCAAAGGTCTCACCTGAGGCTGGAGGGCCCCCACAGCCTCTGGCTGTTTTCTGTCTGGTTCAAAACTCACTGGTGAGCCAACTCGACTGAATCCATTCTCTTCCCAGAGCTCTGAAGCACAACAGTTGATTTAAAAACCTTACAGCAAACTGTTGGGGAGTGAAAAATGGATTTTCAGGCATTAAAGCACAGACCGAGGAGCAAACAGACACCTTTGATTGAGAAATCAATGCTGGGGTTTTACAGCACTTCACACTAAGCAGCAGCAGAGCCCAGCGTGTGCCTCATCCCTGCAGGGCAGGGGGGGGAGAAACCAGCAGAAAGCAGAGAAATTAAACACTCTGATGCTTCCCGTGGCCTGACCAAAGCCAAATGTAACGTGTTTCAAAAGAGACCCTTCAGATCATAGACTGACAGGAAAAGGGTCCATGCCAGACCTTTCAGGGGGCTTCACCTGGCTGCTCCCCAGGCTGAGGGCTGCTCTCTCCTCACTCCCTGCTAACCAAGACCCTGATCCAGTGGCTGACATTGCTGCCCATGGCAGGGGGTTGGAGCTAAATGGCCTTTAAGGACCCTTCCAACACCAACCATTCTGTGATTCTCTGATCTCTTCCAGCCCCAGGATCACCCAGGGCAGCACACAGGAGCTCCTGCTGCTCTGTCAACCAGCCTTGGGTGCAAAAAAGGAAAAAAAAGAAAAAAAGAAAGAAAAAGAAAAAATGGAAAAATATTAAAACACAGCCTGGAATTGATGAAGATGCCAGAGGGAAGGAGCGAGTCACAAAGGGAAGAGGAGGAACAATCCCTGCACCCAACAGGGATGTTACAAGCGAGAGAGACAAGCTGACAAATTAAAACAGACCACGAGAACCCCTGACATGTTTTAAAGTCTTCTCTCAGCTTTCTTCTTCTCTTTTGTATGTTGAAAATTCATCTTCAATTGCAATCTCAATGCCCCCAGAGGGAAAAGCAGCCTGGCATAAGGCAGCCTTCCCTCTAGGCAATGTGAGTCTGTATTACCAGAGCAAAAAGCCTTTCATCTCAAAATCGTTCCCTTCCAGAGCACTTGACCCAAAAGGAAGTCTCCTTTATTTCTGTAAAAGTCACTTTCTCCCCCACATCCTGTGGCCTCAGAAGGGAGCAGGGAGGCAGCTCTCTGCATTCCCCAGAGCCTGGAAGTGCCTGCCCTGTGCCCCCAGCACCTGCTGCTGCCAGGGCACTGCTGGGCAGGGACAGCCCTCCCTGCAGCACCAGGATGGGGGCAGATCCCAGGGCCAGGAGCTCGGGGACACCAAGCTCCCCAGAGAGCCCTGCCAGCCTCCCCAAGCCCCTTCTGCCCAGAGAGAGGGACAGAGACCTTCTCCAAGTGCTTCCACCCCAAGCAAGAGCCAACACAGCAGCGCAGCCATGACTGACTTGTGAACACCTGGCTTGTTTCTCCTCAGACGCTCCAAGCCAGGAACGCTCCCTTTCCCATCCACAGCACCTGGGTGTTTCTGGACAGCTCAGGGGTGCCACCAGACATGTGCTCCAAGCCAGGAACGCTCCCTTTCCCAGCCAAGGCTGCATCCACAGCACCTGGGTGTTTCTGGACAGCTCAGGGGTGCCACCAGACATGGCAGAGAGAAACCTGGGAGCTGCTGGTGCCCAGGAGCTGTCAGGACTCCACGAGGAGCCAACTGTGGTCCCACCTCCAGCGGTTCCCAGGGCCAGGAGAAAGTTCCAGTCCCTGAGAAAGCTGAAATGGAGGGGACAAGTGGCACCAGCAGCTCAGCAGGAGGGAGGGGAACGGCTGTTTGCCACTGCCAGCAGGCAGCCAGAAGCTGGCATGGGTGAGAGAAGGGCTCCTGGCTCCCACAGCCATCTGAGATGCAGGGACATTGCCACCACGGACAAGGATCTGTGCCCCAAGGCTCCCAGCCCAGCTTCACCCTGTGCCAGGAGCGTGCACCTCTGCTGTGCCCTGTAGGACACCAAACCCCAGACACCTCCCAGGTGGGACACAGCTCAGAAAGCAGCGCTGGGCTCAGAAAGCCCCAGCCCAGCACAAGTCACTGGCTCCATGTTGAGTTTTGCAATGAATTTGCAGTGTAATGTCAGGAAGGACAGCAGGGCCCATAGAATCACAGCACATTTCTGCCCCTCCAAGCTGAGGGCCAGAAGCTCCTGAATCCCAGTGTGCTGGAAAAACCCAGGGACTGCCTGTGCAGAGCTCTGCAAATTCCATGTTTTTAAAGCAGCCCTTGGGGTTGTTTGAAGCTCCTGCTGCTGGGATCCCAGCAAGCAGCTCCTGAGCACGAGCTTTGCTTTCTCCTGAACACACACACAGGTCTGGGCTACTCACTGGGCTCAGCCATCCTGGTGGGAGCAGACTTATCAGGCAGGACTGGCAATAAAGATAACAGTGTTGGTGATGGTTCCTCGAGCTGAATTGCTCTCAGTGCACTGAGGGAGTGACATGCAGTGCAAGATACCCACAGAGTTCTATAGAATAAACACAGCCTGCTTCAGTTCACACAAACCAGCCCCACAGAAACATTAAAATTCAACAGCGGGGCCGTCAGCTGGTTCAGCTTGGGCTGATTTCTGCATGCCTTTGGTAGCATTTTTAGGGAGGCTTTTTCTGTGGTTCTTTTCTCCAGCTGACAACTCCCTCAGCCTCTCTTTTTCTGAACACCCCAAGAAAAGTGAAATCCTTGAAGGAAAATAATTTCCAAACCTCTCAGAGATAAAAAAGTCCTATTAGACTAATTTTTAGGATGCAGGGAGGAGAAAGCTTAAGCTAAACAAACTAGTGGAAAAATTGATTTATTAAAGTAGTTGGATGCTATCAGGGAAGCAAGCAATTTCCTGCAAGCACCATTCTACTGGAACAGATCTGTCTCACCTTCCTGGCAGTGTTCCCTCTGCCTGCCCTGCTCCCAGAGCAACTCCAGTGGTGTGATCCCCTTCAGTGACCCATTAGCAGCCACGGCACATTTGCCATTGTGTAAGTGGCAGCAGCCGCAAACATGACACTCTAAATAAATTTTCGGTGGTTGCAGAGTGGTGTAATTAATCACAGGGTGTTTTGCAGGCAGCAGGAGGCAGGGGAATGCACAAGGCTGTGGGAAAAGGGACATCAGGTTCCCCTTCTGCTGCCTGTCCCCACCCTGCCCTGCCAGAGGTGACACAGAGCCTGGGGCCAGGCAGCAGCTGGAGCTGGAGCAGAGGTCAGGCTGTGTTTCACAGCTCCTCCCAGTTTGTGAGCTCCAGCAAGGGACTGTGTCCCCAGCCTGCTTCCTTTGGGCAATCCTTGACCAGCAGTTAAACAGACCTGGCTGGCAGTGCCTGCAGAGGTGTAAAGTTAACCCTGGTCCGAGCCCTCTCCCTGCATCTTCCCCTTCCCACATCCCTGAGCATCAAGACCTGCTGACACAGAGCAAGAGAAAAGAGGAAGGAACAGCTTTAAACACCCTGAGCTGGATCCCTGCAGCTCCTCCCTCAGCACACAACAGCCCTCAGTCCTCACAGAATTCACAGAATCACTGGGTTGGAAGAGATCTTCGAGACCATGGAGTCCAACCCAGCCCCAACACCTCAACTCAACGCTGGCCCCCAGTGCCACATCCAGGCTTTGTTAAACACACCCAGGGATGGTGACTGCACCACCTCCCTGGGCAGCCATTCCAGAACTTTATCAACCTTTCTATAAAAAACTTTTTCCTAATATCCAACCTAGATTTCCCTTGGTGCAGCTTGAGACTGTGTCCTCTGGTTCTGTCAGCTCCTGGAGAAAGAGACCATCCCCACCTGAACAGAATTCACAGAATGACTGGGCTGGAAGACACCTTTAAAAAAAACTGAGTCCAACCCAAAACTCTCCTTCCCTGCAGCCTCCTCCTGCAGTCCTGTGCAGGCTCCTGTGGGAGCTGCTGGCTCCTGCTGCCCAACCAGCAGCTGGGGATTGCTGGAAAGCCTCTCAATCTCCTGAGAGCAGGACACAGCACGTGCTGCCAGCGTGCCTTGCTGCCCAGATCCCAAGAGCAGCAGCAGAAGCAGATGGAATAGCCTGGCCCTGGAGAAACCTTACATAAACCTCACACCACCACCACTTCAGACAGCCATCAGGGACCCTTGAACTCACCAGGCTGGCACAAATGGCAAGCTGGGAGCCTGCAGGACTTCTCCAGGGGTGCCTTGGTCATCTTCTCCTCCCATCCTCCCTCATCCAAGCACAGTGGCCCACATGGAGGTGTCCTCCTGCTTCAGAGGGCACTGCCTTCACCTGTAAAGACAGAGACAAAAATCAGGCTTTGTTTCCTGATGCTGAACAGAAAACTGAAGTCCTGAAGGCTGTCGTGGAGTTGAAGTGTCAGCATTCACCCCAAACCCACCTGAGATAATTCTCTTTCTCCCTTGCTTCAGCCCCACTCCCTGCTCTCTGCTGAAGTCTGGCATCTCTCCTGCTCTGACTGACTGCTGTCTCTGAGCAACACCAAAGCACTGCTGAGCAGAAGGGAAAAGAAGATTTTATATATACAGCAGCCTTTGAGCCATGCTTTTAATATTTCATCTTTCTTTTTCTGCCAGAAGAAAGGAAATTCCTTATGCTGGCTGGGCTGCAACCTCACCACCACAACCCTGAGCCTCAGACAGCCCTGGCTGCCAGCCCCTCCAGGCAGACAGGGAGTGCCAGGCTCATCTCCCACCCACCCAGACCTTTCTGCTCCAACATTCCCTGGCGCCACTCAGGAGGTGGCACTGAGGGGGCAGGGAGGGCTGGGCAGCTGCCTCAGAGCTACAGAATTCAAGATATGGCAGAGAATCCCTGCACTGAGCTCCATAGGCCACTCAGATGCCTCCATGGACCAATTCTGGTGGAAACTGATCCAGATAAGGTGACAGGTCAGCAGCCACGGGGTCACCCTGAGTGACACCTGCCAATCCCTGCCACCCTGCTCCGTGTCAGAGCAGCTGCCACCCCACCCTCACACCAGCTATCCATCAAGCATCGTGTGTGTCAAGCCAGCTTTTATTTTTAAATTTAATGTCTATAAAATATTTTGGCTTTAAATTATTCCGCAGCCTCCCTCGGTTTGGCGGCGCTTCCCCGTCTAGACAGAACAATCTTGTTGTCAGTGAAACAGATTCGCCCTGACATCCCTGCCGAGATGTTGCTGCTGTTTTGTGGAAAGGAAAAAGGCTAAAATGCTCATTCTTTACAGTTTGGAGATGTGATTCCTGTCCATTCAACTTCAAACAAAGACCTCAGTAAATAATCGCGCTGTCTGGGTTTGATCTCTCTGTGTTAGGCAGTGCAGGATGGCTCAGCAGCAGAGGGATCCCCCCTCTCCCACTGCTGCTCCCCCTGCGCCTGCCCTCCTGGCAGCCAGGGCTTCCCACCTCTCCTGTCCTTCCAAACCCACCTGCTTTGGCTGCAGAGCAAGGACTGCAGTGTGGAGATCCCCATGGCAGCATTCCCTGCTCCCCAACACTGACCTGGATCCTCTGTGGCTGCAGGACAAGTCTTGCATGGCTGCATGGGAGATGCAGGAGAGCCACCAGCAGCCTGAGAGAGACATTAAACCAAGGCAAAATATACCTTGCACACCAGCTTTGTTGCCAAGGCTCCGCCAGCATGAAAGGCTACAAATAGTTTCTTTACAATTAAAAAAAGTGTTTTTCCCCCTTGTTCACCAAGGCAAAGATAAACCAGACTGAGCGTTCAGCAGCACCTCGTGTCAGCCTGTGGTACTTGGAGAGAGAAAACAGCCTGATCCAGCCAAAAATAACATTGCTCCCCTTTTGCTCTGCCAGTGACACATCCGTGATGCCTGCAGTCAGAAGTGACAAGTACCAGCTGGGCACCTTTCCATCTCCTCTCCCGGTAAGACAGCCACCCACGTGGCAGCAGGGAGGTGATCTCCACCTTGTGTGGGGCATTCCCTGCCTGGGCATCACCCAGGGAAAGGCACAGCCCCAGAACTCAGCCCCTGAGGAGCTGGACACACAGAGAGTCACACAGGAACTGGGGAGCCTCCATGTGAAGGGCAAGAGCTCAGCCCCAGGGATGCTTCTCAAGGGTGCCTGTGGCCAGGGGAGGCTGGAGAAGAGCTGAACACTAAACCAGGCACATCTATAGGGTGGCAAAGGGTTTCATTAGTTGATTTCATTCCTGAGATGCCTCTGGAGCTCCAGGAGGTGCCCAGCTCAGAGCAGACTGGATCAGCCCCCTTGGTTAACATTTAATCCCAGAGCATCACACAGTAAATCAGGTGCAAAAGCACTGTGCACAGGAGGAGACACTCTAAATAGCCGAACAGAAAAAATGCCTCTGAATATTCAAATGGGAGAAATACAGTCGTGAAGCAAGAAGGGCTCTCTGTGCTCTTTGCTCAGGCACCTACACCCAGCAGTGCAATGGGAAGAGCTACAGCAGGAAAAGCTTCAGGGCAGCTCCATACCTGCTTCCCACCCTGCATGTGATGTGCAGCCTCGTGAATTCATCCCTGTCCTGACCTCCATGGAGACACAGAAGTTTCCTTCCCCCAGCTCTGTCTCTGTCCCACAGCAATCCTGGCAGCCCCACATTTGGAGCAGCCCCCAGCACTCCCACCCCAGGCAGGAGCAGATGGCCCCGGGATGCAGAGAGGCAGAGCAGAGCGGGGGAAGATCCCACCAAGCATCCCAGAGATGTGCCGTGCAGAGCCAGCCCCAGGGACTGACTGTACCAGGGAAAACAGCTCCAGGGAGGCATGGCAAACAGCAGATGGATGTGGCCTTTCCTGGGAGCACCGAGACCATCCCACACGGCACAGAGCCCAGGCATGGCTGAGAGCACCTGCAGCACAGAGCCCAGGGCTTGGATTTGTGGGGTTCCGAGACAAAAGGAATTGAGAATGTTCTTAGAAGGCTAATTTATTATTTTATGATCTATATTATATTAAAGAATACTAAAGAATACAGAAAGGATACAGACAAAAGGCTAAAAGATACTAATGACAAACTTGTGACTCTCTCTTCAAAATCTTGGCTGTCATTGGCCAAGAGGTAAAAACAATTCACATGTTGGATAAACAATCTCCAAACCACATTCCAAAGCAGCAAAACACAGGAGAAGCAAATTAGATAATATTGTTTTCCTTTTTCTCTTAGTCTTCTCAGCTTCCCAGAAGAGAAATCCTGGGCAAGGGATTTTTCCAGAAAATATGACAGTGACACCCAGGCATGGCTGAGAGCTTCCTGCATGACAGAGCCCAGGCATGGCTGAGAGCTCCCTGCAGCACAGAGCCAGGGATGGCTGAGAGCTCCCTGCAGCAGCACTTTCTGCCTCTCCCTTCACCCACAGCTCCAGCTCATTAATTCTGTGAGGTTTTGCCCCAGATCTGGAGGACCAGCAGTTGCTCCTTTGAGGTGCCTTAAGCGCCTGCTCTCTGTGCTGATGGAGAGCTGAGAAAAGTCCTCTCCTCAGCCCCTCCAGCTGCAGCAGCCCTGCTGATGCCCAGATGGGTGATAAGTGGAGTTACAGCTCCAGCGGAGTGTTTGCTGTCCTCCCGGGATGGAGGTGTTAGTGCAGAGCTGGCTGAGTGGAGCGCTGGAAAAGGATGCAGGAAGCTCATTAGCACATCCTTAATGGCCCTGAAATTGCTGTGAGGGCCCCTGGCAGCTCCGGGGGGAGCCAGTGTCGGGGCACCTCCACACCGGGCATTCCCGAGGGGAACAGGCTGGCTCAGCTCAGCACATCCGCTCCAAATCCAATGTCTCTGGCATCAATCACCCAGATTTTACTGCTGCATGCTGCTGCTGCCCTCTGTGAGAGCAGAGGAGAGGCACACCGTGCCTCAGTTTCCCTGCCTGTATGAGATGTGTGAAAAACGCCAATCATTTGGTTTTAAAGCTTTAGAAGTTTAATAGTAATAAAATGGTTATAAAAATAGTAATATACTTAGAGTAATAAAATTTGGACAATTAGGATTTAGGACAATACGGGACAATAAAAATAAAGTTACGCACAGTTTGGGTACTTCTTTCTGGGCAAAATAAGCCCAAAAAAAGGACCCTCGTTAACAGAGGATTAACCCTTAAAAGCAATAGCCTGTTGCATATTCATACACCTCATACATGATGCATAAATTCTATTCAAACAAAGGATTCTGTCTGGTCAGTGTCAACTTCTTCCTCTGAATCCTGACAGCGTCTTCAGGGCTGAGCGAGGCAGGAAGAAGTTCATTTCTTCAGATAAGAGAGCAATAAATTCTTTTTCTCTTGAAGACTTAGGTGTCCTGTGGCTGCTGTCTTGGTGTGAGTCCTCTCTTAAAAAAACCTATCTTACGTAGCAGAGTTTCTATTTTAACATTATGTTATAACCTACAACTATATTTAACACACTACTTAAGAGAACTAATACAGCATAACTTTCTAACATAACACATATAATATTCATTTTAATATTTGTGAAAAGCCACTCATAAAATACACATTTTTCACAAGCTGTGACACCTTCCAGCCACCTCAGTGAGTACCTCCTGCTTCTATTTCTTGTTCTGCCCTCATCATGGAGCTTCTGTGATATATGTGGGGAGATTTTCAGGCAGTTCAGAGGTGCTGCCTGAATTTCCAAGGTCACCCAAGCACAACAACACAGAATCCCAGAACAGTTTGGGTAAGGAGGGACCTAAAAGCTCCTCTCCTTGCAGGGACACCTTCCACCAGAGCAGGTTGCTCCCACCAGGCTGGCCGTGGTGGTGACAGCCCCTGGGTGTCCCGGTGCTCCCTCCAGGGGGAGGTGGCTGAGGACACTGCTCCAGGCAGGTCTGGTCCAGCACACACTGAACCAGCTCAAGGCACAGGTTGGATCAAAGGAGCAATCCTGGTTTCCAGAGCTGGCGCAAAGCCTTCTCTCTGAGTTAACGAGCTGGTCAAATGCCACTCCTGGGCAAGAAGGGGGCATGGGGCAGGAGCAGGTCCCGTGTCCCACCTTTAGGTGCTCCACTTCTCATGGCACCTGCACTGAAGGGATTCGGTGCCTCCTGAGAAATGCCAAGCCAAGAAGCTTTTAAGAACGCCTAAACTTCCTTTTTAAGAGGCAGGGCACATGTGCAACTAATCCAATCTTAAAACTAATGATTTAATTTTCCTTTGGAGAAGCAAACCAGCATAAATTAATACGTCCCGGTAGTATAACATAAGCATATTTTATCTAGAGATTATGTTGATTAAATCATCAAGTGCCATAATCTTCCCTTTGTACCTCAATAAGTTGGAGGGAAAAAAAATCCCTAAAAA